ATCGCAGAAAAATAAAAGAATCGATTACGATTCGATTGCGATCTGTTCTTTTTTTTTTTTTTTTTTTGGAAATTAATCTCAACTAGCCAAGTTATCGAGAATTTTCCTTCATGTTCCTCTTAAAATAGGAAAAATTGATTTGTGAGAGGTTGGGGATGAAAATTTAATAGAAAGTGTTGTCATCCGCAACGTGTCTATAAGCAAAGTTTCAGCTCGATTGGTTTACGGAATGTGGGTCAATTAGCCATCCAAAGATTTTGAAATCCATCACGGCAGTCAGCCAACCCCCTCCCCACCCCACACAACACAAGCAAAGTTAATATAAAGGATAATGGTATCCTTGGATGATAATATTGGTTATAAATCTGACTTTTGATTATGATCTTAACATTGTTGATTTTTTAACGTCTCATATTGATAAAATGCCTAAATCTAATAATGTGCAAGAGGCTTCTAATAACACAACCATTTGGTGTTTATTAAAGTAACAAGATCTAAGATGGTAAGTCACAACATCTAAGTCATAATATCTATGGTGAGAAGTCCAGAGATGATGAGTCACACGATCTAAGTGGATAAGTCTCATATTCTAAGATGATATGTTACAAGATCTTAGTGATGAGATCAGAGGCGTACCGAGGGTGTTTGGCGCCCGGGGACAAGATTGGCGCCCGGGGACAAGATCCATTTTAAAGCGCCCCCTTCTCTTTTTTTCAACTCTCAAACCCAATATTTTTACCAATTAATATAATGTCGAAGCACATTTTGGCGCCCCTAACTAGCTTGCGCCCGAGGACATATGTTCCCCCCTGCCCCCCCTCGCTACGCCTCTGGGTGAGATAAACTTACGTCTCCTCTGGGGGATTCGGGCTATAGCAGTTGATTCCGTTACAAAAGTGGCGGCTCTTTCTGCGTACTCTCTTTTCCATAGGCACAGGGGGATATATCTCTACGACAGGAACTATTCGAAGCTTGCAGCGGTAGCAGAAGCTCTTGGTCATGGTCATAGTAGCAAATCCACTGGAGACAGAGGAAGCATATTGAAATTTATATACAAAACCTCTTTGTTTTTTTATTAAAAGTAGAATGATTTCTTTTTATTCAGCGCCCTAACCGTTCAGTCATCTAATAATTTTTTTTTTTAAATACCTACAACATCCAGCTTGCTATGAGACCCACATACGAGTAGCTACAATTTTTTCAAAGTTAATTTCTATCAACATTTATGTTCTAGCTCTAGACTACATAAAGGTGGGAAAATATTGACATTAAATAAAATAAGATAAGATTCTTTATTGATCCAACTAAATTTTTTTTTTTCAAATTACATTTAAAGTAATCATTTTCAGCACATAATAACTACATATCTGTAACGAAAAAACAAATTATAACATTATAACAATTTAAACACGAGGCATCTAAAGTATTTCTCTAGCGTAGTAATCAGCCATCAATGAACAGATGTATAAGAGGGAATTCGGGTGACTGTAAGGTGTGATGAATTTATTAATTGACTTAAAGTTAATAGAAGAACTCAGTAGCCTTACAAACCTATTTTACTATAGAGAACAGGCGGTCAGCATAATAAGATACAGGTCATCATAGAGCTCATAGCGCACTCGGCAGTCTTACTAAGTACTCTCTGTGATGCGAAAAACTATTTAGTGTCATCACCGATGAACTACTTAGTGACATAACTCATGAACTCCTTAGTGACATCACCGATGAATTACTTAGTGACATCACCCAAGGTAAACTCCACAAAAATAATGTTAGAACAAAGAAACAAAACCAGATTAGGAACAGCCTCCCAAAGTATCACAAGCTGCCTCCCTAAGTATAGCAAGCTGCCACCCTAAGTATCACAAGATGCCTCCCTAAGTATCACAAGCTGCCTCCCTAAGTATAGCAAGCAGCCTCCCTAAGTATCACAAGCTTCCTCCGTGAGTATCACAAGTGCCTCTCTGAGTATAACAAGCTGCCTCTCGGAGTATCACAAGCTGCCTCCCTAAGTACACAAGCTGCCTCCCTAAGTACACAAGCTGCCTCCCTAAGTACACAAGCTGCCTCCCTAAGTATCACAAGCTGCCTTCCTAAGTACACAAGCTGCCTCCCTAAGTACACAGGCTGCCTCCCTAAGTATCACAAGCTCACACGCTGCCTCCCTAAGTACACAAGCTCCCTCCCTAAGTACACAAGCTGCCTCCCTAAGTATCACAAGCTGCCTTCCTAAGTACACAAGCTGCCTCCCTAAGTACACAGGCTGCCTCCCTAAGTATCACAAGCTGCCTCCCTAAATGTCACAAGCTGCCTCCCTAAATATCACAAGATGCCTCCCTAAATATCACCAGCTGCCTCCCTGAGTATCACAGGCTGCCTCTCTGAGTATCACAAGCTGCCTTCCTAAGTATCATAAATTGTCTCTTTTAATCCCCAAAAGATCTCCAGAATGAGCTCAGCAGAGCATTGGAGAAACAGAACTCTTGAAAAGTATAAGGCCCAGATAAAATCCACAATGAGAAGCTGGTACGTTTGAGCTTGATACGGAACTTATACAAAGCTCATGGAGCAAAGAAAAATGCATACACTCTACAGAAGAAAAAAAAAACATAGTGTCCTACCCAGCGAATTTTATCCAAAAATGGGTCAGCTTTCAAAGGGGTTACACATTCAGGCAATTGTTTTACGATTAGGGTACGAACATCGATCATGTGACGAAGTCAGTAGCCAGTGAATGGCGATCTGCTGTAGCTAGGAAGCGTAAGCAACTTAATTTGAAGCAGCGTTTATATCAACAATCTAGAATCTTCACGGTTTATAAAAGTCATTTTATCTTCTTCGATTGCAAAGCACTACCTCAGGTGGCTGATTATCAAGATCTGACAACTAAAACAAGTGTAAACTCACTATTTATGAAAACAAACATCTTCCTCGAAACCTAAGCTAAAACTACAATGGATACCAGGACACCACAGAATGCCAGGAAACAACAATATAACAGGACATCATATTATACCAGGGCACAACACTATACCAGGACACCACAGTATGCCAGGACAACACAATATACCAGGACATCATTTATATACCAGGATACAACAGTATACACGGACACCACAGTATGCCAGTAAACCACAATATACCAGAACATCATAATATACCAGGACACAACACTATAACAGGACACAACAGTAGACGAGGACACCACAATATACCTGGACGTGACAATATACAATGACATCACAAAATACCGGGACACCTCTATATACAATGAAAGAGCAGAAAAACTAGCCAAACATACCTACATCACTCAACATAGCCAATAATACCTCCATCACTCAACATAGCCAAATATACCTACATCACTCAACACAGTCAAACATACATACATCACTCAACATAGCAAAACATACCTACATCACTCAACATTGCGAAACATACCTACATCACTCAACACAGTCAAACATACCTACATCACTCAACATAGCCAAATATACCTACATCACTCAACACAGTCAAACATACATGCATCACTCAACACAGACAAACATACCTACATCACTCAACGCAGCCAAACATACCTACATCATTCAACACAGTCAAACATACCTACGTTGCCCAGCACTGCCGATTATCAGAGTTAACGAAAAAGAAGACTGGTCAAATGATTCTAATAAAGTAACGAAGTCCATCTTTTGAATAATAACTGAGGGAGAGGGGGGGGTCTGACTTAAATTTGCTGAAAATAATCGTACTAAAAAAATAAGTTTTCGAATCTCAGTAAACAGCTTGAAATAATTATATTATAATACAATATGTGAATTTAGATTATGAAATATGTATGCATTGTATGACACTTTCAGACTATTTCCTCCGTGGGATTGGCAGCATTTAATATTTTCGTAGAGGGGAGGGGCAGGCACACTGCCATTTGACAGAGGCATTGCTAAAAGGTTGCAGATGGACAGTCGTCACCGTTGCCAGACTACCGTAGGCGCCGAAATTGACTTTGAAGATGTTTAATGTTTGAAAACTATTCGTTGAAGAGTTGAGGAGGAGCATTAAAAATATTTTCCCTTAAAGACCAAAACTCTAGCAACGCCCCTGCCAGTGGCGTAGAAAGGGCCGGATGGGGTTTACCCAGGGCTCACTTTTTTCTTTATAGGGAGGTACGTCTTTTTCGGACAGCTGCACAGTTTGTATCGTGAAAAGGAGAGGGCAAAAAAATTTGACCGTACAAGGCGGCACCAATACTACCTATGCCAATAGGCAGTGCCTCTATCGGCTCCAAACTTAGCGATCATTTTTATCGAGAACTAGGAATGAAACCGAGGGCGCCGATGAATCTTGAGAGGAGGATGGGTCTCCAGGAAACGTTTGGATTATTTAAAAATCAAGAGCCGCATTTTAGAATATACTTGAATCAATATTACTATTAGACGTTTTGATCGGGTGAAAGAAATTTTGAATGGCTCTGGGGGAGGCATTATGGCGTCAGGTGTCGTAAAGAAACCTTATTCACTCCGGTTCTAGCGTTTACTTGAGCGCATTTTTAGGAAAAAAAAGGGGGTTGGGGGGGGGGGGTGGCTGGTCCCACTTGACTCGTTCGGGACAAAGCCCGGTCCCCTCTCCCCCCACCCCCCCCCTCATCCCAGAGCTAAATAAAAGAAACATTATTGAGAGCTATTGAAGTATTGCATGACGTCAATATCTAGTCCATGACCTTAGATTCTATGGGATGAACCCTGTGTGGGTTTACCATATAAAGTTGTTGTTTTTTTCATTACTATAGAGCTGAGTTATTTCTTGACCTTATTTTTGGTTTTATTACATTGTCTTTTATCTGATGACTTAAACTTTGGCTTTATGATCTTATGAATTTCTTTTTGGACTGTTTTTTTAATGAATTAAAAATTGATTTTTCATGAAATTCTATTGATATTTCTTTAAAAAAAAAAAAATAAAAAAAAAATAAAAAAAAAAAAAGTTGCAAGAATGCCTCAGCGAAAGGTACGTCTACATTGCACATTGTCACACTGGAACTTTCCTATTCCCCATTCTCTGTCCCTGGGGATTGGTTCAAACCTCATTCTGCACTTATAACATTTGGAGACCTGAAACAAAATAAATTACATCATCAAAGTTTACAACAGGGGACTGTTAGTCTACATGGAAAATAAAATTAATGTCAAAGATCTTTAGCTATTGATATACAATGTGTTTCGTACGTGACAATCGCCAGTAAAGCACTTGAAATTGTTGACTATGGTGCGACAGTATCTTGTGAATTTTAAAAGGAAATTTAAATGAATCATTAATGTGTATCGTCCTCACTAACTATTGAAGGCTCGCACAACATACGGCCCGCGGGCAACATGCGGCCCTCCAGCACCCACTTTGGGGCCCCCAAAGTAACGAAATAGTCTTTTTTATTATTATTTTCTAAATAGCTTTCCACCTGTCCTATTTACTTTCGGCCCGCACAAGATTTCATCAAGTGTTACGACCCGCCTTATAGTTTGAGTTGTGCAGGCCTGGACTAAATAACTATAGCAGGGGTTCTTAACCTGTGAAGTACGGATCTTTTGGAGTCCATGAAAAAGCTTCAAGCTCCATTTCACTTGTAATCTTTGTTATGCATTTTAAAATTTTACTCAACAAGGTGTTCGCAGTTTTTTTGTAACTACCAACCAGGGGTTCCTAGCCTTCATTTCACTACGAACAAACTGTTCTCGGCTTTATTTTTCACTATTGCCAGGGTGTTCATAGTCTTAGTTTCATTACCGACAAGGTGTTTGTGGTTTTTGTTTTATTACTAACCAAGGTGAATGTGGCTTTTGTTTCACTACTAACAAGGTGTTTATGGCTTTAGTTTCACTACTAACAAGGTGTTCGTGGCTTGGGACTCACCACTAACAAGGTGTTCGTGGCTTTAGTTTCACCACTAACAAGGTGTTCGTGGCTTTGGTTTCACCACTAACAAGGTGTTCGTGGCTTTATTTTCACCACAAACAAGGTGTTCGTGGCTTTGGACTCACCACTAACAAGGTGTTCGTGGCTTTGGACTCACCACTAACAAGGTGTTCGTGGCTTTGGACTCACCACTAACAAGGTGTTCGTGGCTTTGGACTCACCACTAACAAGGTGTTCGTGGCTTTGGACTCACCACTAACAAGGTGTTCGTGGCTTTGGACTCACCACTAACAAGGTGTTCGTGGCTTTGGACTCACCACTAACAAGGTTTCGTGGCTTTAGTCTCACCACTAACAAGGTGTTCGTGGCTTTCGTTTCACCACTAACAAGGTGTTCGTGGCTTTGGACTCACCACTAACAAGGTGTTCGTGGTTTTAGTCTCACCACTAACAAGGTGTCCGTGGCTTTCGTGTTCCTTTGCACATCAATGTTAAGAATCCCTAGACTGTTCTAGTAAATCTGGGGCTGGTAAAGGGTCAAAAGTTTCAGATAATTCTAGAATGCAATCGCCTCACAATTCAAACAAATCTTGCGCCATACAAGACATATAGATACATGAACATTTAAGCCGATACCTTATTTAAACTGAGGCAAAATGAATACATCCCTTACCGGGTTCGCACAAGGGACACTTTTCCACCAACTCCTTTGACAAGTCTCGCAGGCAAACTGATGCATTTCAGAGCCCTTCTCAACCACGCTCAGCTTATTGCTTAGATTTTCGGACGCTGCTCGCGTTGATTCAATGTACCCTGTGTCCTAGTTTGAGCATGAAAAATAGATTCAGTGTACCCTGTGCCTTAGTTTGAGCATGAAAAATAGATTCAGTGTACCCTAGGGCCCTAGTTTGAGCATGAAAAATAGATTCAATGTAACCTGGGCCTAAGTTTGAGCATGAAAAGTAGATTCAATGTAAACTGGGCCTAATTTTGAGCATGAATAATAGATTCAATGTAACCTGGGCCTAAGTTTAAGCATGAAAAGTAGATTCAATGTAAACTGGGCCTAATTTTGAGCATGAAAAATAGATTCAATGTAACCTGGGCCTTAGTTTGAGCTTGAAAAATGGATGCAATGCAAACGTTACGATTGCAAATTATGAAAACATAACTTTCTGAATGGTATACATTTTACTCAATTTAATATAGACTAACATTTATAACAATCAACTTAATTTGTTTCCATAATTCAATTTTACGGGCCAATAAAAATGAGAACATTTTGTAGCGTAATATTTTAAGAAATGTTTTCACTTTGATTGGCCCACCCTGTATACTTGCTAGACAAAATGTTCAGATCACTCTGGTGTCATGAATGTGATGGATGTGTAAACAGTGATGGCCTCTTTCAAATAATGTTTCTCTAATCCCGTTTAAGGCTTTGTGCTCAGATACGCCCAATATACTTTGGTATACAGTCCAGTCCATTTTATTTCTAACGCATTTGTTTATCCTCCATCCCCCTTGCCCAATCTCTCCCCCCCCCCCCGACGCCTACCACATATTTTAAAAAAAAATCTTTCTACTGTCGCACTTGAGTGTACCGAATTAAGCTGAAAGCTTAGAATTTTCGGCTGTACGATAAAGATGTTTGTTCAATGACGAAACGAATGAAGTTCATTTTTTAAGCAGTTCCTAAAGGACATACAACATATATTTGCCTACTTACCCTGCCTAAAGGACATACAAAATATGTTTGACTACGTACCCTGCTTAAAGGACTTACAAAGTATTTTTGCCTACGTCCCCTGCAATATTGACAAAAAAGTCTTCGTATTTTTGCCTACGTACCCTGCCTAAAGGACATACAAAGTATTTTGCCTACGTACCCTGCCTAAAGGACATACAGAGTATTTTTGCCTACGTACCCTGCCTAACAGTTGGTTCACAACGTCAGGTTGTTCTGAAATTAATTCATTACAATTTTTGTAGAAAATGAAAACTCTAAAAATGACCGTTGAAACAAATCAATTGTTTTGAATTTGATGAATAAAATAATTGTTTGCATCTTTACTAATGATGGCAATTAGTCTATTGTTATATTTAAGTTGTGATATATTTGATAAATTAAAATCCTATTTTTAAAAAAAAAAAAAAACATTTGCAGATTTAAAATCTATTATGTGAAAATTGTGAAATGGGAGACTACAAAATGGAGGTTAAAATTCTTACGTGTCATTAGGATTGTATAATTATTCATATAATAATTGATCGATTTTATCAAATGAATATACGTATTAATCACAGTCGATATCACATATTAATTCGCTAGGCAAGCACAGTCCCAACATCAGAGACTAATTCACTAGCCAATCACAGTCACATATTAGAGATTAATTCACTAGCTAATCACAGTGCCATATTAGAGATCACCTCAGTAGCTAATCATAATCCTATATTAGATTTTAAATCACTAGCTAATCACGGTCCCATATTAGAGGTCATCTCACTAGCTAATCATAATCCTATATTAGATATTAATTCACTATCTAATCATGGTCCCATATTAGAGATTATCTCACTAGCTAATCACAGTCCCATATTAGAGATCATCTTACTAGTTAATCATAGTCCCATATTAGATATTAATTCACTAGCTAATCATGGTCCCAATATTAGAGATTAATTCACTAGCTAATTACTAGTTAATCCATGTTGTTTTATGATTCCATTCAGAAATTCAATCGTTAGTCGACGTTCATAAATTTATTTTTTTATTTTATTTTTTTAAAGTAAATTAATTTTTAAAATATTTCAGTCTACAACGAATGAAAATTAAAATGAAAATTAGGTCAAACTATTCAAATATTATTTAATATTTCTGTGTTTATGTATAAAATACCTTCCATTAAAAAGGCCACGACATTATCCCCATCTCCAAAATGTCGAATGCATCTGATTATTTCTTCTTGGCTGAATCTGCCTCTGAATAATTCTCTTATTCTCCTGGCCAATGACTCCTATGGTTAAAGCAATGATAGCATGATTTCATAAATACACACTAGAGAGAATAGTTGAACTGAAAATAAAAAACACAGATGAGTCGAGTAAATCAAATTTTTAAAACAGTAGCTTTTCTTTTCCGGTCACTATAAAACACTCTCAACTCAAAAACTGATCGCAAATCATTCGTTAACAATAATTCAAACCCTAAAACAGATCTAGCGTTCATCAATTTCTTTAATTATTGATCTTGTAAGTGACACAACTCTTTCTGGGTTGAGGGGTAGGGATGTTGTGATAGGTACTTTAAAATATCTTGGACGATCGCTAACAATTCTGACCAGGACAGCTACCAGAGGATCGCCATTGTTTAGCTGAGTGGAAGATGAGCTGAGACATGGAATTTCATCCTGCCAATTTTCAGACACTGCCAGTCTCTAGAAGTAGTAGCCCTCTACACCCCTATTACGAACTGCAAGTCAAATTCTTGTGCCACTTTCGTCCGTAAGGTACCTCGGCGTTACTATTCAAATAGAGGTCCACTGGGAAGATCATATAAACAAGGTGTGGAACCAGACAAACAAGACCCAAGGGTTCTCAAGGCAAAGTCTAAAGATCGGCAACTCCAGTGTGAAAGAAAAAAGCCTAGGAAGCCTTTATCCGGTGGCTTTTAGATTACGCACCGTCCGTCAGGGACCCATTTACCCAAAAGGAGCATTGACAGGTTGTTTACGGTCCAGCGACGGGCATCACGCTTTGTCATGAACCGCTACAGGTATACCTCTAGTGTTGGCAGCATGCTGGAAACAATGGGCTAGTCACCATTGGAGGAAAGACGATTATCCAGGCCCTCCGTGATGTACGAGATGAAAATAGGCTGGCCCACTGCTCCAGCATTAAACAGAAACTCGTCGGTCTCCCCACTAGACAACGACAAGGCCATGACAGGCAGTACCAGCTCATAACAACAAGAACACAGTACCGCTCATTTCTACCACCAACAATCAGGGACTCGAACAAGCTTCTAAATGGAACAGTTTAGTCGGAAATACTTGACTCATTTACATCTATTGGCCTGGGCCTTCCAATCCCCAGTTCCTGATAGCCTTGCGGAGTAGCCCTTGCAACCAATGAAATATCCTATTCAATACCAGGCACAAACATAGGAGCCAGAATGATCTATACATTGATCGTGGGCCCTCAATGTAAAGAAGAAGAAGAAATGTCATTAAATTCAATACATCTTTGTACGGGATATAGGTGTTTGGTTTACGTGTTGTTCTTGTGTATGGGATGAGTCTAGACAGCACCCTCTCGTCATGGATGATGAAATGAATAGACTCGCAAAAGCTGGTGTCATATTTGGCAGGCTCCGCAGCACTGTTTGGGACAAGAGAGGTATCAGACGAGAAACAAACCTCAAGGTCTATAGCGCAGCAGTCCTCCCGACACTGCTCTATGGATGTGAAACGTGGACAGTCTACCAGCGTCACGCCAAGAAACTGAATAATTTTCACACTACCTGCCTCAGGAAACTCCTCGACATCAGGTGGCAAGACGAAGTCCCCGACACCGAGGTCCTTGCTAGAGCGAACCTATCTAGTATCTTCACCACTCTGATGCAGTCTCAGCTCCGTTGGATGGGACACGTAGCCCGTATGGAAGAACACCGGCTCCCGAAACAATTATTCTTCGGAGAAATCACGATAGGCAAGCGCTCCCAAGGAGGTCAAAAAAGCGTTACAAAGACTCACTGAAAGTGGCACTAAAGGCCTTCAGCATAAACCCTACTCAATGGGTGCAGACAGCCCAGGACAGAGCCAGGTGGAGAGCTGCTGTCAAGAAGGGGGCTAAATTCCATGAAGCTAATAGAATAACCACAGCTGAGACACGCAGGCTTGTCCGAAAGAGCAACATTAGGTCACTGTCTGAAGCAACTATTCCATGCCCACGGTGTCATAGATTATTCCGAGCAAGGATCGGTCTAGCAAGCCACCTACGAGCTCAACGTAATCCCAACCTCCTCCTAACCGGATGACTCGATGGTCCTGGTCGACTTCGACGGACGAACAACAATGTGTTTGGGGCGAGTCTGGATTTCGGTGTAAATCAGGATGGCAGAGTCTAGACTTTGGTGCTAATGGGGTTGGCTGTCTAGACTTCGGTGCTGATGTGTTTGGGCTCAGCCAAGGCTGTGGCGCTAATGTGGTTGCATTAAGCCAAGACTGTGACTCTAATGTACTTTGATCGAGCCAAGACTGTGGTGGTAATTGGGTTAGACTGAGCCAAGACTGTGGTGCTAATTTACTTTGATTGAGCTAAAGCTATAAAGATAATGTAGTTGAACTAAGGCTAGACTGTAGTGCTTATGTGGTTGTACTGAGCAAAAACTGTGGTTTCTAATGTACTCGGACTGAGACCAGACTGAGGTGCTAATATGGTTGGATGGAGCGCAGACTGTGGTGCTAATGTGGTTGGACTGAGGCCAGACTGTGGTGCTAATATGGTTGGATGGAGGGCAGACTGTTGTACAAATGAGTGTTGGACTGGGCTAAGAATATGGTGCTAATGTGGTTGGACTGATCCAAGACTGTGGTGCTTATGTTGTTCGACTAAGCCAAGACTGTAGCACTGATGTAGTTGGACTGAGACAAGTCTTTGGGGCTAATGTACTTTGACTGAGCCAAGACAAGCTCCTATCATTTAGTTTTCATCGACATCAATGTGTCATCTACCTTGACTATGTCATTCTGTCATTCTGCTCTTTATACAGTTGTGTTGAAAAGTGTTTGGGGCGAGGTTTGCCCAGGGTTGTCATTTTCTTTTTGAATTTAGTGGCGGCATATTAGGCCGCATTTATTTTTTGTGGAAAGGAGCGGCAAATTACTTCTTCCCCCCGGGGGGGGGGGGCTAACCGTAGCAACGAGATCTTCACACATTATTCTTTTTTCTTGTCTGATGAAAACCATTCTGATATTTGTTCTAATTCTCCCCCCGACATCGTCTTCATCTCAAATTACTCTGTCTGAGCCCTAGTTCAGCGATTCTTGATTTGACTGGTTTAAAGTAGTTGATCAACGGATTCAATGTATGAAATTTTTTTTTTCTGGAACCAAGTTGATCGGAAATTCGTATGTTCATTTACTGAACCACAATTAAATATAATTCTTTTCATTATTGAAATTAAAACATAAAAATGCATTAAATAAATCCATAAAATCCATTCCTTACCTCGTCATCCATGTTATCAATGTCTATTCCTCACAAGTTTTCAATGTTTTGGATAATCGTTACCTTTGCAATTCCAAAAATTAGTTTTAATATGTTTCATTATATATATCCTTATGTTTCATTATGTTCAGATAACATGGTTGTCTCCTATCTACTATTTTCTCTCTTTTTTGTCTATATGTAATGCACTTTTACGCATGAAATCGAATATGTATTTTTTTATTATGTATTTGGATATAAGGAGTATCAATTACTTTTCGACTCCAAAACTTGCACTATAGGTCTAAGTTATATAACCATGGGAACAACTCTAAAGCAACATATTTAGGGAACATATATAATTATTTATATTAATTGCGTTTCCAAAGAAATTGATGTAAAATATATTGCATGATAAGTAAAAAATTCAATGATGATAGGACATCTAATTTACTCAACAAATACTATTTTCTATAATTCCAGCTAAAAAAGCTTCGACTCCAACCCATTTACTGCGACTCCGCAACACAGATATCGACTGTGACGTTAGTCTATCATCAGATAGAAGATATGTTATTTGCAGCTGACGCCATCACTGTGTCGTGATTAGAAGAACCTAATCAGTAGCGATGTAAACCATCAGGGGTGGACTGGGGAGTTCAAGTGGCCCGGGAAAAAAAAACAAAAAAAAGCAACCCTATCTTCATGACTTTTATTTTTATTATATCACCGGTCCTAGCGGCCCATCGAGAATCTTCTCGGTGTCCAGGCGGCCCAGTCCACCCCTGTAAACAATCTAATCAAATCATCCTTAGAACATAAACAAGCTACAAATATATGTCAGTTTGACCACATTGGACCACATGCAATTGTTGAAGTCTCGGCGAGATACCACAGTTGACCACAATAAAACTGTTGCAGATGTCAGTGAACTACCACATTGGACCACATGCAATTGTTGAAGTGTCGGGGAGATACCACAGTTGACCACATGAAACTGTTGCAGATCTCAGTGAGCTACCACATTGGACCACATGCAATTGTTGAAGTCTCGGCGAGATACCACAGTTGACCACATGAAACTGATGCAGATCTCAGTGAGCTACCACATTGGACCACATGCAATTGTTGAAGTCTCGGCGAGATACCACAATTGACCACATGAAACTGTTGCAGATCTCAGTGAGCTACCACATTGGACCACATGCAATTTTTGAAGTCTCGGCGAGATACCACAGTTGATCCCACAAGAAATTGTTGCAGATCTCAATGTACCATATTTGACCACATGAATTTATTGCAGATTTCAGTAGCGTGAATGAGCAGCCAATAACAATGTGATCAATGATGCATGCAAGCCATAAAGATAATGCTAGGTCACTAGAGAAGGAAATAGCTCTGTGCACCGGTGCCCTAGCTGTATGTGGTCATGAATATTTATAGTCGTATTATATCTCAGAAATGTAAAAAAAAATGTCCTTACATTTCACTGATTACCAATCTGGAATATCATTATAATGATTGATAGAAGTTATCAAGTGCATATGTTCAATGGTTTGCTTAAGGAATTTTGGCACCATTCTTCGTGGCTATTTAGATATAAGATGGAAGTGATGTATATTCAAAAGGTAGTAGACATGGCTGTTGTTTTATCTCTTTCTCTCTCTCTCGCTTTTCCTTTCTCTCTCTCTCTCTCTCTCTCTCTCTCTCTCTCTCTCTCTCTATCGTCACCTTGGAGACCGGTTTATAGAACACCTCTACAACGTAAATGAACAGGCTTTCTGTCCGGTCTCCAAACTTTTCACTA